GAAATATTCACACCCAATGAGGGTGTTTTTTTTTAATTAATAATAAAAGAAAGAATAAAATAGAAATAAAATAAAATGAATAAACAAATTATTTGTATCATTTCATTGAATTAATTCATTATGAATCAAATGAATAAGATAATAGAAATAATAATAATAATAAAGAAATATTTTAAATGATAAAATACATCAACATATTTATGTTATTATTTCTTATTCTTTATTTCATTCTTATTTTCTATTTAAACAATAATAAACAAAACATAATAAGAAATATAAATAAGAATAACATAACATAAAATGAAGAATAACAAAGCAATTAATTAAGTATTAATAGAATTTTCATTTATTCTTCCTAGTTTAGGGGAGATTAATCACATCCCTTCGCTGTTTTTAAAAGGAGTAATCTTTTTGTTGAACCTATCATTTAGGTTTGTCTTGCAAAATGAGAACATCAATTCTTTGTCTTATTTCTTCCTGTTGAAGTTTTTCAAACTTCTGCTTAATTCTTCTTTTTAAACCTTTGTTTATTTTCTACCTTAATTTAATGACAGAAAGAAAAGAGTATTTCATTCCCATTATATTATTATGTTTAATTTTCTTTTAGTCATACCCACACTTCAGTAGATTCTTATATTACAACCATGTAATATTTTACTATATTCTCTTGCTCCACCCTTCGCAGCATTACCCAATACATTTCTAATTTAAATACACCGTCATAACCAGAAAATAACTGGGAGTGTCGATGCTTGAATTTGTAATAAAGTGTGTGGTGTTTCAGACATGCCACTTTCAATCTCTTTATTCGATAGAAAATAAAAGAAAATTGAAAGATTTGAAAAAAGGGAATATTTTTATATATCAGAATCATTACCCCCTATGCAATGTTATGATGACTTCAAAACATTGAAAAAGTAATGACAATAAAAATAAAGGAATAAACATGAGAGAAATTGGAATGAAATAAGAAAAATTCGGTAGGTTTTATCTATTTTTAAAACAAAGAGAATTATAAGAGGAATTAGAAGAATGAGATGAGAAGCAAAAAACGACAAACGATAAAAATGAGAAGAGCTGGTTGTTAAAACCAAAAAGTCAAAAGAAAAGATAGATTTAATTAAGTGAAATTAAAATAATATTTTATTAACTAAGGAATAAAAATGATAATGATTAATATTGACAATTAATTTCACTCACTAAGTTAACTGAAAAGAATAATATTTTTTTAAAAGCGATTAGTCTCCATATAGCTAGGAATAATAGAAACAAGTTGTATTAACATTTAATTAACTAGTTTTCATTTAATTTAAAAAGAAATGATAAGAAAGAAGAAATAAAACAGAATTGAAAAGTATTTAAAATTAAACAAAAATTTGAAGAAAGAAATTATAAAGAAAAATGAAATAACAACAAAAATGGAAATAACAGGAAGAAAAATAAGATAAAAAATAGGAAAAACAAATAGGGGTAATAAACGCAAAAGACAAAAGAGAAATAAAAAGAAAATATTCACATGAAATTATATAGATACGAATGAAACAACAATGATGTTTATATAAGAAGATAAAAATAACGACAGAGTAGTGATAACGAAACTAGAGATGAAAGAAAGGACAACAAACATAAAATGATGAAATGTCATTAACGATAAAAATAAATACAATTACAATTACATTAAGAACGAGGATGTTATTTTTAACCTTATGTAACGATAATATAAAAACAAAAGTGGGATAAACATCAATGGAATAAAATAGAAAAATATAATTCTTCATTCAAGAGTATTTAAAAAAGAAAAAACTAGAAAAAGAACATAACATGTTTGGAATTGAAGATAGAGAATACTATGGAAAGAGAATACCAGAAAGATACTCTGGAATAGCTGATGGATGTTCTAAGGGACGTAATGAATTGAAGAAAATTGACATACTACTAAGAAATGTTGCAATGATAGGAAATGAATGTTTTAGTGAATGTTTATTAGAATCATTAGAATCAATTATTTTACCAACAACAATCACTAAAATAGGAAATGGATGTTTTGATAAATGTACAATATTAACAACAGTTAATATACCAACAAATGTAAGTAAAATAGGAGATTTGTGTTTTAATAAATGTACAAGATTAAGAACAATTAATATACCAACAAGTGTTAGTAAAATAGGAGATGGTTGTTTTAAAGAATGTTATTCATTAAAATCAATTAATATACCAACAAGAGTTAGAAGAATAGGATATTATTGTTTTTTTCAATGTACATCATTAACAACAATTAATATACCAACAAGTGTTACATATATAGGAAATTGGTGTTTTGCATATTGTGAATCATTAAAGTCAATTAATATACCAACAAGTGTAATTGAAATAGGAGAATATTGTTTTATAGGATGTTCATCATTACAATCAATTAATATACCAACAAATGTAATTGAAATAGGAAATAATTGTTTTTTTGGATGTTCATCATTAGAAAGAATTGATATACCAACAAGTGTTAGAAGAATAAGAGAAGGATGTTTTTATGATTGTACATCGTTAACAACAATTAATATACCAACAAGTGTAATTGAAATAGGAGATGAATGTTTTTATGGATGTTCATCATTAACATCACTTACAATACCAACAAGTGTAATTGAAATAGGAGATGAATGTTTTTTAGGATGTTCATCATTAACAACAATTAGTATACCATCAAGAGTAAGTTTAATAGGAGATAGTTACTTTAATGGATGTCTAGAAGAATTAAAGGAAAAAGAAGTATTAAGAAAGAAATATAATAATGATTGTGTCATTGTTTAAGTGAAGAAGAAGAATTTAAAATAATTGAATTTTAAAATAAGAAATAAATAATAATCAATTAATTAAGTAATAATAATAGTTTCTAATGTTCTGTCTCATTTGAGAGTAATGTAGTCAATAAAGAAACATCAAAAAGCAATAATGAGTATGTTTTGTTGTGATAAGAGCAATATTCATTGACATCAATCATGTTTTTTATTACAATGTTTTTTACTTCTTTCTCGATGTCAATTTCAATTTTTAATTCATTGATTAATATAATAATTGAGTTATTTATTATTATAGTAATTGAAATTACTACTGGAATTATTCTGACATCTTTTAACTTTTCTATTTTCATTAGAATATTCTTTAATTCTTTATACTTATTTCTTTTCTTCCAATAGGCTCCATTAATATTGTGATCAGCCACAATAGTCATATCAAATATTAGACTAGTTTTATTCTTTTTATCTAATACATATATGTCTGGTATTTTGTGATATTGTCATTCACTTATATGCATTATTTGTTTATTCAATATCATTGTGATGTCTTTATATTGAACATTGTTTCATATGGAGGTTTTTTATATTGTTTATTTCCAGTGTATTTTCTTATTAATCCCTCCCATATTATAATACCAATATTGTCATGTTTTTCTATTTGTGATTTTTTATGATAAATACAAGATAGTAAGATGTGTTCTACTGTTGCTATCTTGTCTTTACAAAGTGGGCAGTATTTCATTTTTCATTTTTCATTATTTTTGCTTTTCTATACACAAAATATTGCACCATCTTGTATTTTAGTTAATTGGAGAAATGCATTTTTCTTAATATTGATGGATTTCCATGCTTTCATTGTAGTATTTTTATCTACTCCTTTTGACTCAAACCATCTTCTAAAATATCCACTTATTTGATGACACTTCCATTTTTGATGTATTTATCATTAATTTCTTTATTTCTACTACTACTTCTTTTTCTTTTTTCTTTTCTATCCCTTCATTTATTATTTCTTCTATTTTGTTTCATTTATTTTATGACCTAGGGCTTTTTTAATTCTATTCCATATTCCTTTCTTACTGTACCATCTATCTAATATGTTATTTCCT